ACGCATCGTTGAACTTTCTTCATTACTAATGGGTTTTCATACCTTAAATTATTTAATTATCATAAAACAGATTGTTTTCAACGAGAAAGAATTTGTCAAGATATTCATATTTTAAAATTAAACATTGTTCCTGAAAGAATTTAAATTTTTACATTAAACTTTACACTATGTTGAATTCTACATTGGACGTTATTTTGTTTTTAAACTGAAAGTGGTTAACATAACACGTAGAAATCTGTTATTATGTGTGTTTTAATGTATAATTAATATTGTTTTTTTCTTTTGTACTCACAGTTATGTGATTAGTATATTTAAAGCGAAACCCAAACTTCGTAAGTTTATAATTGTAATACTATTTATAATGCCTCCCAATTTGTACACAATGATGGTTTAAGAAAAAATTACCACTTTTTCTTCTATCAGCAGATATAGATATATAATATTCTCCGAATTAATAAATTTTTTACATCACTAATGTGAAATCGCTTGTCAACATAACTCCACCTCTTCTCCTACCTCAAGAAATAAAAAATTAAAAAAACAAAAAAGAAAAATGTTTTACTATATAAGTAGCAATTCAAATTCTGATGTAATCGTCACAATAAAATCTAGATGATCAATTAAATGTTTTGCATCTAACATTTTATCAATTAACTGCTAAGAAAACTTTAGGAACCAAATGAAATTGATACCTCGTGAGATTCCAAAATGTTGAATAAATAAAGAGAGTAACCATGTTACTCTACCGTACTAAAAATAGTATTTAAGGAGCCTAAGGCAAATTAGTCTTAGACTTTGCTCGACTGGTTTGATTCACTGTAATGATTATAAAGCTACATATAGATACAGTATCTGTAATACAAATGCATCAACCACTTTCTAACAGTTATGCTTGTTTTACACTGTGGTTACATTCCTTTCATTCTTTTCCAAAAAAATTAGCTAAACCTAATACTGTGCTAAATGCTATATTTACAAGATTAGAAGTTGACCATTTTGTTTTATTTAATTATGTACAGAGGTGTAGCTCTTGATTACAGTAAAGAGTAAATCAACAAATTTATTAAAATATGTAAAACTGTTTTAGTATTGCGAATTATATTGTTAAGGCAAATATGATTAGAGCTGTAATGAAGAAATACTCCAGAATTAATTTGTACTTTATGATTCGTTTTACTACATTTTTACTTTCCATATTAACATATCTTTGTTGATTTACTCATAAATTTTTTTCTTTTAAATTACATCCGTTAACTTTCTGTTTGTTTAAAAAAAGTTCTTAAATATACATTAGCATTTTTTTTTTTAAATGTGGTTCATGCATCTGCAATCAATTTAGTGCAACGTGAAAGCATGGATTTACAAATAACGGCGTTGTGAAGAAAAAGTTGCCAGAATAATAAAATAACTTCACACATCTATGATAATGTTTAAATGCAGTATGTGTACACGAGAATCCCTATTAATATCTTTGATAACAATTTACATAAACATAAATGTTAATGTAAAAGAAGTTTTGTTTTTATTCATCTATCCGGTTGTTAATATTAGTTCAAGCTGTGTAAAATTATGAATTTATCTGAACCATTCCATTCTGCAACTCACTCATCTATTTGGAAGCATTAAAATAGACCTCAAATTAATTTTATAGTTGTTTACTACACTATTTTCCAAAACGAAATAACACTTTTCTTTTTCTTTTGTTCAAATGAATGTTATCGCTTCCAAATTTACATGCTTGGTGATAGAATAAGACCTCTATCTTCAGCTCTTCCTATTTTGATATGTGTATGTATAGATGTATATACATACACTCACAAATACACATGGGTCCATGCATATATATATATATATATATATATACACACACATACACACACACATGTGCGTATAGATTTTCTTCACAAAGCATATAACAAACACTATATAAACATGATGAAATATGAATTTTTAATTATTTGCATCTACATGCCTTACCTGTAAATCCATGTTTATTTGTATGCAATGATGGAACTTATTCATGGTATTAACTATGTACTATCTTTGTTATAATAACTTTTTCAATCCTAATTTCAACCTTTCCTGAGCTGGATTCACTTTGATTTTCAATTGTTGAATAAGATCATATATTTTTAAAGAAGGCCCAACTTTAAAACCTGTAAGGTCTATTATTTGGTCCTTAGTGAGTGTCAACAGAGTTTTTCCATCTATCTTACGTTTACTAAAATTATCGCAATACGTTGCACAATCATTAACACGAAGGAATTGTGCAACATCAAACACATTCCATTCAGATGGCACTAAATCACCAGATTCAGAACTTTTTTGAACACCATCTGCTAGCCTTGGGATGTATTTGCTAGAAGCAGACGTCACCTATAAAATAAGACATATTTTAAAGTTTCACGTATACAATTGTTTTCTCTGTGAAATTTAAAAATTCAGTAGTTTCAAAATGTATCTGCCGTTATTTTTAATCGTTATGAAGTAGAAAACTATAATATTAAAATCGTAAATTTCTAAACTATACTCACTATTATAAATTTATTACATAAATAAATTGTATAACTGTATTACAATTAATATATCTAAATAAAATAAATTCATTAATCATTTTTCTCTTTTATTCCTTTTTTTCAACATCTTAAATATTTAAATCGATTTAAAAATACCTAATAATACTCACATTAATGTACGACGTTGCAGTTCTTTCTTTTGGTGGCGGAGGGCTTTGTATCTCACTTTGAGTATCGTTTAATGCTTGGCCTTGTCCAGTAGTGGGACTGGGTAAAGTTTGATCAGGTCCAGCTGGTTCTTCTGCTGGTTCTGGTTCTCTATTTCTTTGTTCTGGTAAACTTTCCAAGTCACGTTCTCTTTCAATTTTTATTCCTTGAGCAGGCTCTACTTCTCGTTCGCGCTCACGAGCCGTGCTAATACGTTCACTGTGCCGAGGTAGAATGTTTTTCGCGCAAGATACTTTGCTGCTTTTCTTCAATTTTCTCTTAGCTTTACGTTTAAGGCCTCTTGGTGATTTTACTGAGAAACAAAATATGCATAGAATAATGCAATTGAAACATAGAAATAATAAAAAAATGTTTTTATAAATTGAACGAAATTCATTTTTAAAAACAATTGTTAAAACGCAGAACTCGTTTTATACTAAATAAAAATTTTAGAATATAGAACAAGCATTTACCAGTAGGACTAGTGTTTTTATTGAGTACACGGGGCCCTTCTAACTTGTGATCAACCAAATCACACCATCCAACTGGATAAATGTCAGGGCTCTGACAATCTAGCCATTGATCATATTCGTCCTCCCAACCATCAAAATGTACTCTTAATAACCTTCCAATCACCCTAGTGATAGTAGCAACACAAACTAATCTAGGATCCATTAAATCAGCAGCTTCAAGCCTCATTCCTTCAATAAATCCGTGTTGAGGTATTTCCTACAATGAAAATTCCTATTAGTTTAAAAGTAATGAATAAAGTTACAAATATAAAATATAATAAACAGCATGAAACTTATAAGTTTAAAATTTTCAATATATCGTGTAAAGTAAGAATATTTCTAAAATTTATTATCATAATGAAAAATTCATTTTATTATAAAAATTGTTTCCTTAATTACCCTATTAAATAACTGCACAGGAGCGGGTATAGTATTTGTTTCTGTTAAATATGCATCCCATGTAAATGTAGTAGGATCATAGCCCTTTGGTGGTGTAAGTGGTAATCCATGTTGAGAACAAAATCCAATAGGAAAAATACAAGGTGAACATGAATGATAGCAAAACCAATCAGCACCACTTGCATCTTCATCATAACTATCTATGCGAATCATTATATAATCCTCTTTTAAAACTTGCATAACAGTTGCTGCACATATGGCAGAAAGATTAAGAGGATCAATGGCTTCTATTTTCATTCCTTCTCTAAATGTGTACCCAAGGTGTACATGATGGTTCTTTGGCACATAAAAAAGATCTTCAGTTGCGTCGTCTTCACACAATTTTGATTTTGATACACGCTCCAAATATTCAGGATATGCATCCAATGTCTGCCCTACCCGTTTCGCCCAGCCAACGGGGTGTATAAGGGGAGAATCTTCGTGGCACCAAAAACCATTGTCTTCGGGTGGTGAGTCATAATATCGTACATGTAATCGTTTACCCACAATTTTTTGTATTGTTGCTACTTTTACTTGTGAGATTCTATTTTTATCTACTACTTCCAAATGAAGTCCACATCTAAAACGTGACTTCATACTATCATTAACTTTATTATAAAAATTAGTTGGCAGTGTTCTTGCACCTGTTAATCGTCTCATTAGAAAATCCTTCCAGTCTTTGTACTTATTAGCAATTGCTGCAAAAAGTTGTTATGACTCATTGTTATAGATATCAAAGAAAAAAGATAAAGAATAACTAAAAATGTATGTTTAACTGTTTTAGTGCCACGTAGCGTGATCGCGTTACCGATTTTACTGTTGATTATGGAATGCGCCATCGGAACTTAAATCATGGAGCAAGTAACATCGGTTAAAGTAACAATTAGTATATCTGGTTACTATTACTCGTAATTGAATGAAGGAAACGCTATCCCGCTGCATGGCACTATCTAACACGGGCTTCTAAAAACCCTTAACACTAAAACGGTTAATATAAAATATTTACTTACTATTAGGTGGAATAAGAGGTTTTCCAATAGTTGCACACCAACCTACTGGGTGTATATCATTTGAGCACAAAGATACCCAAAAATCTTTATCAGCATTAAGTCCAAAGCCTTCATATCTTAACAAAGCCCTGTAGCCAGATATACGTAATACAGTAGCAACCCAAAAAGAATCTGGAAAAGCTTCACATACTTCATCACAATCTGTATTTTCCACTTCTACTTTCATACCAACTGTGATATTATCCCATATTTCTGATATAGGTGCCTAAGACATGAAAGTTTAATTAGGATTTGAACAAAATTGATAGCACAATATATAATACAAAACTAAACTAAACTAAAAATAGAAATGTACTACTTTATAAATTTAAAGTTATGTATTATTGTTTCCATATGATATGGTAGACTAACATGTTTAAAACAAGATACTGGAGCAGCACAAAAGCCAGGTTCAACCAGTTGTGGAGTCCAATCATAAGAACCTGCCATTTCAGCAGTCCTTTTTCTTCTTACAGGTAAATCCTCTGGCATTACTGGTTCAGATATAGTTTTCTCTTTCTCTAGTTCAAGAGGTTCTTTTACATCTGTTTCTTCTTTCACTAAGACCTAAGGATTTGGAAAATATTACATTATCCTTTTATAATACATGTTTAGCTAACTTACATTTTTCGTTAATTTAGTCTCATTTGGAGAAGTTGAATTTACAGATGCGGGTGCCTCTATTGAATGTGATGGACTATATGTAGAATCAGCAGTAGGGGCTGTATGTTCTGAAGATCTTGCACATGCTCTACTACAAAATCGACGTTCTTTTGTATAAAATGCATGTTTTACACCAATAGCACCACATTTTTCACAAACAGCTATAAGAAAATAACAAAAGTTTGTAATTAAACAACTTATAATGTAATTTTGAACATATATTAAATTTCATGTCTCACCTATACCATCCTTACGAATGGGAATGAAATTTAAATCTGTATGTGGCTGATATGCAATTGGTGTCTTCAAAACTAGTCCTGGATGTTTTATAGGTTTTATTTTCCTATTACGATTGTCCTGAGTAGTTTGTGTTGCAGCATTGTTTACAACTTGCTCCCGTTCTTCATCACCCATGTAATCTTCTAATGTTAAATATTCAGTCATTTCTTGCCTTTCAGACTGTGAATCATATTCCTGAAAAATAATAATTATTGTAAATACAAAATAAAACAAAATGAAATTATCCAAAAAAGTCAAATGTACCTGTTGTATTTCTTGGGCATCAACAGCTTCCATAGCTTCATCAGGTTCTGAACATTCATTAGGAAATTGAGGTGGTAGGTATCGTACCATAGTTGTAGGTGCGATTTGATGATTCCTAATGTCTTCATATGGATTTGAGCCGTGAGAGAAAAATGGGCTTTCAGCTTGACGTGGATCCAACATAAGCTCATGTGTAGGTTCTCCATGTACCATCATATCTCCCATCCATACCATCCCTAGTTCCGGTAATCCAGGGATGGAAGCATACACTGAATTCATACAAATATCCATTCCTATATTCACATAATGATTGAAATATTACTTTTAGACAAATTATGTATATTAGTATCTTTTAGCGTCAAATAAGGAAACATTATAATTAAAATAATAACTTTTAAATGTGAAACAAATTATTTTATACAAATATAGCAAATTTGATGAAATTAAAATACTTAATAGGTGGAATAATTCTTAGTGCATGCAAGAAAATTCATATAACAAAGGACAATGCGCAAGACGATAGATAACACAAAAACAGTTTTTCAAATTGATGCTATTGTATTTGAATTCCATTCTATATCGTATAAAATGTAAAAAAAAACTCAATATGATTTATTTCTCAAAGTGACGCCGAAGCTTTGAAAATCAACATTTATTCAACCTTTTCCACTGGGAAACATGTTTCAAAAGAAGAAGTTTCTCTTTGAAGATACACCATATCCTGTGTAAAGTATTCAATCCCAGGATCATAAATTACGATGTAATTTAACGCGCGAACATATCACATAGCGTAGGAAAACAAGTACGAACCATTAGAAGCTTGCATGTCCATGACAAAGCAGGGCCAGAAAACTCCTGTATATTCAAGTGGTGTACAAATTGCTACGCCATCTGATATGAATCATTATTATTACAGAGTCGGCGGTATATACGAAATTTTAATTTCTTATCGCTAATTATTTCATACCAAATACCTGGCGTAAATAAAGGAAAAATTGGCAATAACTACTAAATTTAAAATTAGTCAAAAGTTTAAATTTAGTTGCTATAATTCATATTAATGTCAAATTACATAATTCTAACCAATATGTTGCGTCAATAATTTGATAATTATATATTAGGGAGATAAAAGAAACCGAATTAGCGGAATTTCAAAATTTTGTATTATTATAATAATTATAATAAATTTGAATTGCTATTCTAACCGTTGGTAACAGATAATAAGAACATATTTAGAATAATTTTCATATATGTAATTTTTTTTTTTAATTTTGTTACAAAGTTTTCCCCATTTGAGTTACGAATTTATTATTTAGATTATGATCAACTTCTATTTAATTTCGTTTAGATACAAATTTAACACGATATTCAATCACTATGTATTTTTGTTTAGCATATTATACATTAAATTCTAAAAGTTTCATGCCCTGCTTATTTAATGCACTTCATTTATAATGAATAAATAATTTGCACATGTGTATAATGATTATTATTATGTATATTTTAGAATAATATTCTTACGAATAAAGTAATATTCTTGTATTTCCGTAACTAATTAAATATCTTACATGCAGATTACATGTTTTCTACCTAACCAAGCAATCAATGTATAAGAATGAAACGAACGATAGATAATTATAATTATTTCATTCTATAATAGAACTACAATTTCTTTTTAATAAACTACAATATTTTCACAAAATAGTAACTTTTCCATATATGTTTCGTCACCTTTAGATTTTTTGCAATTAAAGGATTAAACACGAATGTAACAAAAGTAAATAACTAAAGGTGCACCCAATAATGATAACTTTTTCTCAAATTAATCGAAATTTAAGATGATTATATTTTTCCAAGGATATATGTAAATAATATAAATATGGTATGTATACACGCTCCTTATACAAATATTATTTATTATTTATTACATGTGTTTTTATAATAGATACCTATTTTACCTTAAGTATTTGTGACTTGCAAATTTATTTTGTTCTTTGAACTCTAGAATTTTAAATGCTTTTTTTTTTTATCAAATATCATAGCTACAAGTTATATGGTAGTCATTATTTTATAATTGTTGTTAATAATTTTACTATATTTATATTTTTTTTTAAATTTTTCCTTTTACAGAAAAATAAGTTAGTAAAGTGATTATTTGAGTCAGTATTTTTATCTTAATGGAAACAATATGAATCAAACGGATAAGACATTAGCAGAAGTAAAGTTTTCAGTACCATGGGGTCATATTGCAGCAAAAATATATGGATCTCCAAAAGAAAAGAAAGTTTTAATGGTACATGGCATTTTAGATAATGCTGGATCATTTGACAGGTTAATCAAATTTCTTCCACAAAGCTATCAATATGTGAACATAGATTTACCAGGACATGGATTATCATCTCCATTTCCACGTGGAATACCCTTACATTTTTTTGACTATGTATATTCAATATTGCTTGTTTTAAATGCATTAGAATGGAAAACCTGCATATATATAGGACACAGTTTTGGAGCTCAAATAGGAACATATTTTAGTATGATATATCCTGGAAGATGTGAAAAACTAATAGCACTTGATGGATTTCTACCTTTTCTCGTTGAGGATATTATTCCTTTTATTAAAAATCTATATAACTTAGACAATTATGCAAAAGATTCTGGTACCCTTTATACTAAAGATGAAGTAATACATGCTTTAAAATTTAAAAGGCGAGAAACATTAACTGAAGATGCTGCAGAAGCTTTATTTATACGTGCAGTCACTAAGGTTAATAATTTGTATAAATATAATCGTGATGCGAGATTAAGATATGTTGTAAGACCAATTTTTACACTGGAGCAGCACAAGGAAATTTTTAGCAAATACTTAACTGAAACATTAATAATTATGGCAGATAGTTCATTTCAAGCGAATTTTTTATCAGAGAAACTAAAAACATTATTAAACAGACATGATGAAAGTAAATTTTCTGTTGTTATTGTAAGAGGAAATCACGATGTACATAATAATTATCCAGAAAGGGTAGCACCGTATGTATGTCAATTTTTAGATAGTTACTTACAGAGCAAATTATAAAGTATTATTTTTATAAAATAACAATTTTTAACATGTACTACTCTATGAAAATATATGGGAGGTATACAGGAGGTATACAGGAGGTATATGGTAATATAATCAATATTAATTTTTTGTTATTAATGCAAATTATGTTTTACGTTATTTGTAATAATGTATGCACAAATTTTATTATTTGTATATACATTGTACTTTTAATGTACATTATACTATATATTGTAATTCTTTTGTTAAAATATGTAAAACAAATGTATACCTTGAGTGTGTAATAATTATACAACATTGTAGGACATTTTTAAAATCATTTGACTTTTACTCGGATTATACCTTCAGCTTGCTGTACTTTTATACATACTTCGTTACCTTGTAAAATAGAATTCTTTAATTCATCTTCTAGTAATATTGCTGTATGATTCATAAATGATCCATTCCTTTTTGTATCGTAATTATGATTTAACGTTAATCTTACTTTATACCAACATATTAAAGCATTTGGCAACAATTTATTATTAGTTGCACTTATCTTTCCAAAATTTATTACACGTTCAGCAACTTCATTTTCTCTCATTTCTATCAATACATTTACATCAGATAAAGGTTCATATAAATATAAACTTGAATTCAAATCGAAAATCTGATTTATCTGTAATAACATAAATAGTATTCTTAAACATTTATAAAGTTATATTATTTTTATTATAATTTCTTATATCTTACCTTAAATTCGTTTATGTACTGTGCAATACCATAAGAAGCAATAGCATTAAAAGTACTATGAGCTTCCTACAAAAAAATATCATTAAGTGATATAGCATTATTTTTAACAATATTTTTAATGTAATTTATAAATACACTAACTATTTTTAACATATCTTTTCTTAAATGTACCTTTTCAAAATCTGATGCATTAAATGTAAATGATATGTCTTGTAAATTTTTATCTTCTACATAAACCATATTTGGTAAATCATCTGAAAATACAAGCTGTCCTACAAAAAATATCTGTTCAGGCAATAAAATACCATTTGGTTTAAGTAAACATCTGAAAAAACATTATAACTTATTTTATTTCGTAATTAAAATGGAATTATATATGTGTAAAATACAATATAAAGTGTAAAATACAATATAAAGTGTAAAAACATATTGTTAAATATATTTTTTAAATTATTCTTACCGAAAAAACTCGTGGTTGTGCTCTTCACTGCAGTCTCTCAATTCTCCTTTAATGTCAAAATCATGAATAAATATAGTATCTACGGAATGTTTAATATGATTGTACTTTGATACAATACATAGTTTATCCTCAAAACCATTTTGTTTTGCTACTTGTTTGATAAATCGTTGAAACATTGTATTCTCATTTTTATAATATAAAATATTACTATGTTTATTTTCCTTTAATAATATTAATCCATAAATTGGAAATGGGGAAGTATCCAAAATACTATGTATTTCTTTGTTAGTGAGCGATTTGCTAACTTCAGTAAGTAATCTTATATATTCAACATCATTTAAAAACGTTATAACTTCTTTTGGTAACCGATATAAAAGATTATGGTTATAGTCATTACACTGTGAATCACTCGATGTATATGAACATTTGAGTTTTCCTTTTAACATTTCGCCCTTAATCATTATTATATCATTCCTATTCAATAACCTTGGTATTGTAGGAAAAACAGCAACTTGCCAACATGATTTCTTTTCTGAAGTATCTATTGTTATTTCTTCATCTAGATGTAACTTAAACCAAGTTATTAAACCATCTATAGTACCACTACTTTTGCACGTTACATCTATAATATTTTTTATTCCATCTGTATTAAATTGCTGTAAATCTGATAAGTTATTGAAATTGATAGTAAAAAATGCTGTAGGTTCTACTATATAATTTACTTCCACATTTTTTAAATTTTCTGTATCATAATATTCCTCATCTAATAATATGGACATATTATCAAAATTTAAAGGACAAAAATGTTTTATTTTATCAAACATCACAGCTGATTTATTTCTTATATATTCACATTCAATAGCAGCTATATACAGTGTAGCTCCCATTGGTATCACTATACCATTTTTATCCAAAATATTTGAATGTACACTTATCATAGATGGTATCACATGTTCTCCAAATAAACCAGCATCAAAAGTTTCTGTTACTACTAATCTTACTCTAAAAAAAAAGAAAAAAAGGAAAAGATTATTTTGATGCAAATTAAAATTTGTTTATGCTTAAGATAAATTTAATTTGATCGAATTCCATTATATTAGTTACTATAACACTGACCTTTCTGTAATATCTGTAGGAATTACAAGCTCTGAAGAAAGTTTGGGTAATAATATTATATTTCTAGCATCATTAGTTTCAAATACTTTTTCAGCAATTTTTAACATTACCGGCGAACATTCACATGCATAAATTTTTTTAGCACCTGCATTTTGCGCATACAAACTTAGTAATCCTGTACCAGTTCCTACATCTAATACGGTATTATATCCTTGAGAAATTCTCTTGCGAATTACACACCCAAACGCATTGTTTCTGTGCTTGTCATTTAACATTGGAAAATGCCATCTATCTACAGCCATACTAAATGCATTTTGCAGGTTCCTTTCTGCTGGCAAAAAGTTAGGATTGGCTTGCAGGGCTTCCTTTAAATATTTTATTGCCTCTATTGGATCATTATTCCTTTAACAACATATTTTTTTTCCTCATTATAAGGAATTTTAGCGGTCATGATATCTGTCATGTCAAAAAACCAATTTTAAAGCGACTGATAACAAATTTACCTAAGCAGTAAGTTAAATTACCTTAACAGATGAGCCGCAAAATTATTTAACATACGAGGATTATTTGGATAAATATCTAAGGAACGTTTGTAACACAAAGCAACATCTGTAAATCTGTTTTCACCTGCTAATTGTATTCCCCACTGACCTAAAAACTAAATATCTATAAATCTTTGGGTCTTACAAAGTTATTGTATTATATAAAGGTATAAAATAACAACATACAAAGAACATCAACAAAGGCTTCTTCAATTTCTGGTCTTTTTTGAGGACATAATTCTGCTACAACTGTATAATATGCATATGCTTTTCCTACATTCCCAGTTCTGTCATGATCATATGCTTTTTGTAACGATTTTTCAATTATGTCGTTTAATTCTTTCTGCATTTTTGACGGTATATAATATTTTTTTTTACTTGTATTTATCATTAGGAAGCATACCCTTTTCTACTGTTTAAAATTGGAACTATTTCATTGCTGTAATGTACATAATCATGTGCATATAAACCGCTTTGTTTAATTCAAGTTTCTTATTTACGTTTACCGTTCTACAAAAACAGTTTAACAAAATTGATCACTTCGCCATCTACCGATACATTTTAATATGTGAAGTCTAATGTCACGAATACGGAATTAACATAGAGATACTGTTGCTAAAAATTTCAAACATATACCACAGACGAAATGTAGAATAGATTCATCACCAAATGTATCTTTTGTATTTGTCTTTGACCAATGGACTATTGTCGACCTATTTTCTTACCTTTTTCAACCATATAAGGAATAAATAAAATAACATCGGAACACGAGAAGAGCTCACAATTGAAATTAAAACCAAGTATAGTAAAAGTAATTGTTTCAAAAGTAAAATATAAATTAATGCGAATGTAACGAAGAAATAACCATACAGTTCCATACACATTTAAAAAGTCGCAGAATTATCTCTTTGCAAGACTATTTTCGAAACACCTAAATTATATTTCAAAAATTTCTGATATTATTAAAAATAATAAAAATATTCGAATGACTGCGCTATTTCGATTAATTTCGAACATATTTGATTGAAATCAAACATAAATGATATCGTTCATAAAATTTGACCAAATAATAACTGCTAATTATAACTCCAGAGTATAACAGAATAAACAATTCTTAATATATATTTTTAATGCATTATACACTGATCGTCATTGCAAACGCAAGAATACAATAGCAAGTTCCCTGACACGTAGAAAATTCATAGCAAGCACAAAATTAATCAGATATTCATTCATCGCTCGAGCCAAAGAGGAACCGGATGATTATTGTGAAAGTAATAAAGCCGACGCGTTCGCGAGTAGAATAAGCCGAATTTCTGGATTTCATTTCATTTCGTCTCATCCACTGGCAAATAGAATGATTGGGCCTGTACGGCCAGCGAATACAAATCAGAATACGTTTCGATCATTTGCGAACTAGATGCACGTCTATCTGTTTACTTGCATAATACGATAGGACCGCATATAGAATACGAATACTTTCGTCATATATATTCGCTCTAGATTTATTTCAAAATTCGAACTTTATGGGAAAAAGTCCAATATATCGAACAAGACCTTCCTAGTTCGATTTTCGAAGAAATAACAGCTGCTCGAGTATATAACCTCTACTTTAGTAGGCACACAATGCAGTTTCGAAGAAATAATTATTTAGAATAATTATTTAGAATAATTATTTAGAATTTGTACGTATTCGTGTCGTGGTACGATGGATTAATATATTACAAAGCGAGCACAAATAATTTATCGACGAAGACACGAGTTTTTGGATTTCTTCATAAGGCTGTAAACCCATGAAAGAGTACTTGAACGAATACGATTTACACTTGGCCTTATCACTGATTCTAACTCGGGAATTATCGGACTCTCCTGGATTGATATATTATGTAACATATATATTCTACAGGAAAATATTTTTTATATCTTCAAGATGGAAATGATTACAGAGTAAAATAATACCACATTTATGAAACAAATTTTCAAATATACCGTATCAAAAGTGTCATAAGAGAAAGGCAACGGCTAGGAAATTTAGATAGTTTTGAAAGGAATTTGGAAATTCACGATATAAGAAATATATGCTTGTAGCTAAAAATTTCAGAAATCTATCAATTACACGATTATTATTTCTTACACGTCAAACATTACGGATATTAACCCTTTGCACTCGAGAGGTGACTCTCAGTCGCCATTTAATCAGATTCTAAAGATCGGTGTTAATTAATATGCCAAATCTAAAATTAGCTAACGATGCGTGGAATGTCGAAATAAAATAATTCTACTTATTAATTTAAAAATATTTTAAAAATATTCTAGACTTTATAGCAGAAAGTCTTCGAATTACTATTTTCCTGTAACGAAAAAATCGCTGAGTGCAAAGGGTTAATAATTCGAAGTTTAATTAAGTTTTAATTTGAAGTTTATCACGTTTTATCTGCATATGTCTTACTTTATCTAATCGTGTGACTGAAGATTTTTGTAAAAGTTGATAGCTACCAATCAATATTACAGTTAACCGATATTACAATAGGAACAGTAAAAGCAGGGATCTCCTAATTATTCCGAATAATCTTCGTTCACGATTTATGAACAAGCAAATGTCTAGCGCACGAGCTTCAGCTTTGGCAGCTTGAAAGACAGGAAGAAGAATGAGAATGGGGGATGGAGAACGCGTGCATTTCGCTCTGGACCTGTTAGTAAACTCATCAGCAACTCTATCTAACAGGTCTATGCTTCAGACATAGGAATGCTCCATAATAAGATGAACGATCCACGTGAATAGATCGATGGTTAGGTACTGAACTTGTAGGAACTAAGAATCTTATTCAGTTGTTCTACCTTAGAACCATCGAAGCCGGATGTATTCTCGCAGAGATCATAAAACAGATGTATCACTTTACAAATTACCAACTTTCGTGCATAGTCATAGAAAAATTCAATAACCTGAATCCCAATACACGATATTTATCACTTCAAAATAAAATCTATGCCAAGAATCTGAACCTTTTAAACCATTTAATCAAAATTCTGTAGTTTCTCAATCTCTTAACTACACGATTTTTCTTATAACATCAGAAACATCCAAACCATCGTATAACAGGAGTTTCATTTCGACAACCAGGTATAGTCGGAAGCTATTGAAATACTAACTTCTCTGGGTATCCGCTGAAAATAAGATGCGTCTTAACGTATTTGCAAAAATCAATCTCTCAGGTGAAGTAGATATGCCTTTGAATTATGCTGTAGATAAGAATTAGGGGACCAGGACGAGCTGCAATTGCATACCCTTTTTCATTACTCTAGTTTTGTCTCTTCCTGCGTAGAATACAGAAGATATACCTTTCTAAGAATAGAATAGAGATAATTATAAACGACGATAGTTACTTCTTTTCACCCATAATCCTAACAGTATCAATTAAGTGGCATGTACGATCATTTCCCATCGATTATTTAATTATCGATTCACACGTATGACGATTAACTCCTGTTTAAAAATAAAATAATGTTATCCTTCCAATTATAACATTCATATTCTATTTCATCGATCACGAGCGACCACTCGACCAGCCGTGGTAGTAGGTATAGTGTTAACCCTTTGCACTCGAAGATTTTTTGGCTAGAGAAGAGTAGAAAATCAAAGATTCTCTATTAAAAAACTAGAATTGTAGAATTATTTGATTTCGATACCTCGCGCACTGTTACATGACATTAAATTTGATATATTAATTAATATCTATCTTCCAAATTTTATGAAATGGTGACTGAGGGTCACCTCTCGAGTGCAAAGGGTTAAACTACTTTTAATGTTACGCTGTATTAATTACATGCAGCCTCTTTGCCTACGATTCTCCTTTACTCGTAAATCCAGGGATCGGGATGCTAATTTCCATCACCTAAACATTCGTATCCGTCGAATTGACGATCGCAACGGGACGGACGAGTTTTTGGGAAGTGGTTTAAATCACAATCGTCGAGTACAATCCGGCTGAGCTCGCTTATCGCCGCTCGTAAAGAACGGGAAATCGGCGATAAGGTACGCGATTCGGGGCGGATTCGGGTCGCGCGTGCGGCAACGCGCCCACGCGTGTTCCGCGTGAATTGGCCAGGCGCGAGGCTACGCGATGATCGCTGATTTATGCCGTATTGTACTCTTAAACTCCTCGGTTATATATACACGCGTCGGTTCTAGCCGCGACAATGCACAGGGCCCCGGACTGGTCCTGATTTCTTTTCACCCGGATCGGCCACTCGCGTATTTTGTTGGCGCAACAATCGTCTTTGCTCGGCCCGTCCGCGCCGCGCGGACCGAGCTGCCGTGGCGAATCGCAATCGCGACACCACGTTTCGAGGGTTGCTGCCAGGGCTACGTGGCGATAACTCCGAATGCGGAGTAACAAATTTTCAGACCAGAGTACACTGAGATGCAGAAACGAGCGTCTACTTGCCAGGCAACCCAAGATGTACTCCACCTTTGCACATCCGTTTCACGAAGACACGGAAGTCGCTCGAATAGACTCACCGGTAATTCGAGATAGAGTCTTTCACGAATTAGACATACTATTGGGTTGGCAAGAAAGTACTTTCGGTTTTTTAGTGTGAAATAAAACTCAATTTTTTCTATACAGTAAATGAACTTTAATCGGTCAAATATCTTCCATTCTATTCGATGACCATTTGCCATCTTTCTGGTAACTTCATGATCCCGCGCTCATAGAATTTCTGGTCCTCATCTGCAAGAAACTTAACCAAGTGCGTAAATCTCAGAAGGTCGACCAGAACGTTGTGAGTATCTTTCAGTGAAAAATCTTCAGAACGAAATTTTTTAAACTAATTCCGACACGTGCGTTCTGTTAAACAATCAACACCATAAACTTCTCGTATCTCTTTGTGAGCCTCAGCCGCATTCTTGCCTTTATGAAAATAAAAATGTAAAATGTGTCGAAAATGCTTACATTTGCACTCCATGTTAAGACTGACCGTGAATTGACGGTTATAAACGAAATTACACGGAATTTCACGAAATAGCAACATAAAGGTATCGACTACCAGATCTCAAAAGAAAAAAATTCCAATATTGACAAAAGAATAACTAAACAAGCATAACATTATTTACTGATGCAAACCGAAATTACTTTCCTGCCAAGCCAATTGTTAGATATTATAGACTAGTTATATATTAGATATACTACTGGATAACTTCAACCTCTTGCAATCCAAGTAGCATTGACGTTTCATGTCGACCATTTCAAAATTTGCTCCGTTTTCATGGTTTCCTAGTCGATATGTTATATGCTATACAGCGTGTCGAGTGCAAGTCGACGTAGAATCGTTGAAGAAAGGGTTAAGGGG